CAGATTGTCCTGATGAGCAGTGAACCACCTGTGGACAGTTACTGTCTCCAGTAGTGTCTCATGCTCTTTGTATTGCATTGGAGACGTCTACATTCCAATCCAGAAGAATGAGCCATATTTTTTTGCAAATATTCAGTAGACAGAGACAATTCCAGTTGACAAGTCTATGGTTTTATTATCGCTTGGATTTATTATGTTGAGCCTTGGATTATAGTTTTCAGAGAAATGCTTTTTTTTTGGGGGGGGGGTATCCTGCCAATGATATTCTACTCAAGTTCTAGATTAGGACTATTCTGGTTTAGAGACGTGAATGCTTACGGTGGTTTCTGCTTTAGAGACATTTTTGATTTATATCTTTTAGAAACACTGTCCTTCGAGTGGATCGCAAGATATTCGTAGCTATCTCCGCAAAACGTCCTAGTAATGTTGCTATTGCTTTTAAAGCACAGTTAGGAATTAGTTTATCTTCCTGGAAGCCACGAGGATATTACAGATGCTTTGTCCCATGCGTATGCAGTGGACCATGGAGCTTTGTCATTGGAGACTGATAATATATCAATGATTGGCTAGAGTTCAATCGTCAGTGATGATCTCTTCGAAATGCAAATAGTGATTGTTAGCAATGGTACAACTTGACAATTTACTGGTATCATTCTGATGGGATGTTCTTTGACGAAACATAATTTCTCGACAAAGCTAGCAATTATTTCACGGATAGGAAATGTTTCTCTGTTGGAGAAGGAGTGACGATCAAGGATGGCTGGTTATCATTTCCGGAATCGTTTTGTAGCCATTTTATGAAGCTTCTCATTTTGTCACAACTCGGAGGCAACGGTATTATTTGGTGAGCAAAATATTTCCCTTAACGGCTCGGATCGATAAGTCGGATAACACAACACTTTTTCCAACATGAGCCTTGTCACACTCAGCGAAACTTGTCTACTAGCCTTTGGAAAACTGGGACCACGGATAACATGGGGCGTGGGACAAAGAACACGAATATACTTGCGGTTATTTCGAACAAACATGAACAATTAGCAAAGCATAATATTCAAGGAAACTGTTTTCCGGCAACGAACTTTAAACCGTGGACTGAGGGGGCGGAGAAGATGTTAACATTAGTGGATAAAACTGGTAATGCCTCTGTGTGACGGTATTGTTATAGTAAAACAATTCATACGCCATTATGCGATGCAGATCTGTAAAAAGATAGGTCAAATTGGCAATTGGACCATTACCACCAATGTCGTTAGGCCGTTGGGGAGCAACGGTGCAATCTCTGGTTGACGCACAAAACTGTAAACATCAGCAAATAGACTACAAAAAGCATTATTACGACCATCGGATAAATGCGCTGCAGCAGCGGGAGTCCGGAGAAGAATTAGGGTATCATAATATTTGCAGGAGGCCCTGCACATTGGGAATGAACATTCAGAAGATTTTCAGGGTAGAGAACTTTCCAGATTGAGATGGACAACAAAACTTGATTACTTGGTTGAAGATACCCATAAGCATTAGGCCAGTACCCTGGAGAGCTAACATAACTTGATATGAACCCGGAAGAACTAGAGACTAAAGCTCGAACCTAAGAAGAGGGGATGGAACAGTGAGAATTAGTATCGTATCTCAACACAGCGCATCTTGGCCAACAAAACACTCTAACCACCACAAGCTTGGTGAGGCATAATTGTCGCGAGTAGCAGTAAAGCAATCAGGAATCTTCCAGATAAGTAATAACTCATCGACACACAAGGAATGGCTCAACCAATGGTTGTAACATATTCAGGGTAAACCCCGAAGTGGAATTAAGCTTGCTTTGGTAATCCCTGGACCACAAAGGTAACTCCAAACTCTGGCTTTTTTAACCCGACTTTCCGCGTGACATACTCTTTGTTTTGAATTGACAGTCAAAAAAAGGCTTATTCGTAGAATCCGTGGCACTATAAAAAACGGGCTTAGTCCGCTCTAATTGTACATTTTTCTTCAATCTTCTATCGACGTTTATAAAGTTGCCAGAGTAAAACTTCTCGACTGAGTTTCTTTTGAAACATTCGAGTGTAGATTTTGAGTGGACTGCTGCTAGTTTTCTCGGGTTATTTCCAATGTGGAAGACAAAATCAATCGGTAATGAACACTGAGATTGTTCAAGATGTACTGTGGTACAACAGGGACTCCGCGATTCAATTTGATTCATTACCGCATAATTCAAGCCTAAGAATCTCAATAAGTGGGAACTCAACACTATTTCCTTGGTTTTATCAGACTTCGTTGAATGAGTAGAAATTTGATTGTCATTATTAAACAGGTCGATTTGATGACTGCACAGTTTCAGTCTGATAGAGACTTTCGTAAACCCGGATATTCAGGAGATGCCTGATAGGCTCCCAAACAGCCTAGGCTTGACCATCGTTGCACAATGTCAGATAAAGTGTACAGGCAAATGAACCTGCGGCACATTATGATTTTACATGTGTGTCTGGTCTCCTAGCTAGGCAACACAGTTCAAAACGTCCGTGATGAGCTTATCTAATCCGGTTCATATGTTTCCGCGGCCGATCACTTCCCCAGTGAGTAGAGGGTAATTGACCTTCGACTGAGATCTAGAAAGAAAGAAAAAATGGTGATTGAGGTAATTGGCATTGACGGCTAGAACAAGACCAACTTGAAATACTTTAAACAGAGCTTGATGCATGAAAATCGAGATTGGAAATTATGATGTGTTCCACGGTGCCCGTCAACAGTTGTCAATATATGGCCATTGACTCAGATCCAATCTGATGTTTGAGGGGTGATATACATCTTTGTTATTCTAACTAGCAAATAGTTCGAGAACTCACTCCTATCAACGAAGTCCTTGACAGCAGCTGCTTATGTGGCAGAAACTGATGACAGAGAGTGAGTAAAACTGAAAACGGTAACCTTCACATGAGTGTTGGTTTTGGTTTGTGAAATGCCTTCTGCTCAGTCGTATGATACTCATTGTAAGTCTGAATTAGAGATTTTGACAACTAACTACGCTGTGGTTCATAACCACCTCTCTGTTCCACAGTACTTTTATAGTCTACTGATAGTTCTGCAAGAGCAAGTTTTCAAAGGATTCTACAAAATTCCCTTGACGATCTACTCAGGGTTCAGGTGAAGGACGCCAAATGAGAGAACTGTGTCATCTCACATAACTGGTTTTGCTACTGGCTACCATTTCAGCAGTGAGACTCCGATCTGAATATTGTCAAACTTTATTGACATCAGTTAATTTTCTTCATGCTCTGTGAGAACTTTTTGAATCTCCACCAAAGTTAAATTTGAAGAAGAACATAGCGGATCAGCCCTGTCTTTTTTGTTTTCAGATAGGTTTGGCTGTTTACTAGTAGGTGCATGGTACGGATTATAAGATAACAATCATTGCAAAAGCCAAGATAACACTACCTGTTCTATGTTCACGAGAGTGGTGTTGGTACCAGTGCGTCTTCAATGAAATCATTTTGCAATAATTAGGTTTCCATCTTTGTATAGCTGTTGCTTTGAAAAACCTTGGTGAACGTCAATCGGTGGCAGGAAGGATCACAGCGAATGCAGCTTTGAAATCGATATAATGCTTCGTTCCCGGCAAACTAATTAAGATGGAAAAGGCTGGTTGCTGCCTCGTCAGTGAGGTTTGTTGATGTGCCTTCCATTGGTTAACTTGGAAGTTCATAGCTTTATTTGTGAATCCATTTGCCACGATTAAAAATATCTTCAATTTCTCGAAGTGAATGCAATTGAATGATGCAAGATATTCAATCAAAGTGAGGTCTCGCTTTCCCTGGTGCTGCCTTGGTAACAAAACGACACATGGAAACCAGGGATTTTTACTCAACTACAAGACAGCAACAAGAGCATGATGAGATACAGCTCAATCGCTACAGATTCTGATTGTGCACAGTCATTCTGCTGTTCACTCAAAAAATCCTCAATTCTGTGCTGCCTGGTTGACCATCTTCAGTTCGATCACTTTCTTTTTCGGAACTCCAGGTTACATTGATTCCTGGCTAGAACCGCTGTTGACTCGCATTGAAGGTGGATATTACAATGCATATCAATAATACTCCTCGAGTTATTACAGATTCACGATCACACCCACAATCTCGACTGTATCTGTTATTTGTTTAATTTGGATGCACACTTCATGGGGACCAGTGGTTGCCGTGCGGTCATTAGGATGAGCAGCGGTTAGGTGACTGAAGCCCTTTATTTCGAGTGTTGTACTATTCAGAAAAATGCATTGTTAGCAGGAGCAGCGTGACTCTTGTGTAATGGAAATTTCATTTCCATTATCATATAATCAAAAGGACGTAAATGAAAACGGAAAGATTCCATATGGGTAAGTAATATATATATATATATATATATATATATATATATATATATATATATACATATATACATATATATTATAGAGAAGTCAAGGCGTACGCTGAGTTGTAAAACGTTTATTGTGACGTTTCGATCCAAACTAGGACTCGTTGTCGAATGTGAGTGAATGAGTGTGTGAATGGGACGGCTGGTTCCGCGCGTTTTTGGTGTGTTGCTGGTCTGTCCGTTTCTCGGTTTTTCGCCATCGGTTTTGCCAGGGTGACGTAATGCTTATCAACCTCGACGTGTCGGTTGAACGAGTTGATCGAATGGAGGGCTTCGAGGACCAGGCGCTCCCCCTTCTTCTTTGCTCGGGCGACTACCCTTGCGCTATCGATTTTGACCTCGTGACCTGTCTCTGCGCCGTGGTTGAAAATCTGTGAGTGTGGGTCGGCGCGTCGCAATGCTAGTTTGTGTTCGTGTAGGCGAGTACGTAGTTGTTTACCTGTCGCGCCTATGTATTCCTTATCACATCCTAGGCATGGGATAGCATAGACCACTCCTGATTGATCGTGCTGGAAGTAACGGATAAAGAACAGGTAAATGGAAGCAGTCAGGTAGAGTAACTTATTCTAATGAACCCTAAAGAACACCAGCATTCATAAACAATGGCTGATATCGTGCCCTTCGCTTGTGACGTATGTAGACTTATTACTGCTAGCACGAATTTCACAAAACAATGGACTGTTGACTGCCGAAAATGGACCAATAATCCGGTAAGTCAGCGTGTTGGTAAATTTAGGCTGTTTTCGACATGTACAGCAAGGTCAGGTGGGCTTCCGTAATCGTCAGGAGATGCTAAGATTGAATCACATCCTGCATTTTACCAGAGGATATAAGAGGCTGAGATTCGAATGTATTGTTGCCAATATTCTTTTTGAAGTCACAGCTGAGGCTGAAGTGTTAAGAAATGATAATTCCCCAAATTTGAAAATGAAGTAATTTTGGGAAATTGCAGCTGGAGACACCGCCAGGCTCGGGAATCAGAAAGTCATATCTTACTCAATAAACACAGAAACGTTTGATTACAGGGAAAGCCATCATTGAAACACACATGTTTGGAACGATGGATCGGGAAACATTTGTGCAAACGATTCAGTGTGAATGAATGATTTGGAGGTGGAACAGTCATTTATTTGTGATTATTAAAAAGAAAAGATTGCTAATGAGAAAAGAGAAAGAGGAGCAAGTGATGGAGTCGGACAAGGTGGAGTGGGAGGTACACGGAGAAGCGAGATCCCGAATTTCTCGGAAAGGTCCTAGACTGGAGGAACGGAAGGTTTACAGATAAAAGAAGAGTTGAAGTGACTCAAATTTCGAGATAAACTCTTGTCGTCAGAAAAACGTCGGCTACTGCCGCTTACCAGAAGTTCAAATTGCTGCCGATGTATTAATGCTGCACTTCATTGTTGGAAAGATAGCAGTTGTATACCGTCTGCAGACCACGTTCGTATGAGGGGAAACTGAACCAACTAAGCAGATTGGCAAATTATTGAATGGGTTATAGATTTCCCGGTTTGATTAAATGCGTAATGCGGTAGATTCTCTTCATAGTATATCCTGGTATACATTGCACTTAACCCACTTGCCGTTCTAACTGTTGAAAGAACTGATATTTTCGAACCCCTGTCAGTTTGCTGATTCGGTTCTCCAAATAGTGCTCCTCAAATTTTACGGAAGAACCCGGCTAGAATAACGATGCCGTCTGGCGAGGGAAATAAAGTAAAGTGAAGGTTCGATATCAATGATGGACGACGGCGATAGTACTAAAGAAGAAGAAAGAACTTTGGTCCTGTTTGGACACGTTTTCAATGCTACAGAATAGCGAAACAGTTGTAAATAAGGCGTAATTGGTTCTAGGGTTTTACGAAGGATACACAGTTCCATCCTTAGATAGTGCGACGAGTGTTTTAACCACGCCTGCTGGTACTAGCACCCATAAAGTTTACATGTGAGATGCGGAAATCAAAGACTGATAGAGGGCATGTGCGCAGACACAAGCTCCGGAAAGAAGGGTAGTTGTGAAAGTAGACCGGAAGTTGTAAACTGGCAAAAGGATGCGGCAACTGTAGAAAATGTTGTACAGTATCATAAACATAGCGCTTCATTTCTTGTTCATTGACGAGTCCAAACCATGTTCAATAAGCTGTGCATTAAGCAGTCAATATGTGAATCACCCCAGTTGGTATTTTCACGTCAGGAGTTCGATGAAACCGCATATATAACCCCTGGTGGGTTTCGATGGGGGGGGGAAGCACATTGTTAGAGTTCTCTAACTGGTTTTACGGTAGTGTGCTATTTGCACATGTACTGGGAGATATTGCATGAGATGCAGGTTTCTACACCGCGCATTTCGAAAACGTTCTTTTTTTCAAATATAGCACAATAAGTTGGGTTTCATTTTAGTGGAACATACAGCAGCACTGCTTTATTAATAGTCGGCCTGGGAAAGGCAAAATTATGCCAGACACGAGAATGTTTTCGGTCAATAAAAGACGCACATTTCAGACAAAATATTGCTTGCAGGGGAAATCAAGTTTCATTCGCATTGAGAAAGTTTGTTTCTAAATTAAAGGGGCAACCGAGTGACGGAAGGAGGCTGCATTTGCGAAGTCATTGGACGTATTATCGGAAAATTATGAGAGAAAAGTATCATTTCTGTATTTGTTTATGGTGAAGTGCCTCAGCTTCATTCATACGGGCCTTAAAGTGTAAATTATCTTTGTCTGGCGTCCGGTGCTCGAATACCGCCTACGTCGGCCATATTGGTGGTGAGTATGCATCCATTGGTCCCCGGGATCGTTCCCATATCACTCTAATTGGAGAATGTTATGTTTGTTCCAGTGAGCCAAGTGTATACAGGCGCAACTGTACGTGAAGAAATCACGTACTACTTTTCGATCTTCCTAAAATAAGCAGGTAATCACCTTTCATCAAACACGTATACGCGCACACTGACAATCGCTGATGACCAATTGATCTCGATGAGTACTGATTATTGCGAAGCAGGTGACTCTGCTGATTTGCTCACCAAAGTTTCTGCTTGCTGGTATGCATGTTAGATATGGCTGGATTTCATGATTACCTGCCTACGAACCCAAGGAGAACAACGGGTTCTTGTCCATTCCGAATCTGAGACTTTTAATTTTGGGCTAATTCTAAAGTGCAGGGTCACCTGGAGTTCAAGGAACATATCCACAAACATACCGTCTGGTAATCAAAGAAAAGGCCAGTTGACAATAACGTGCAGAGAAACGATATGACAGGATCATATCAGTCAAACGATCCCCGCCGTTGAACGGGAGCTGTCAATGAAACAAAATTGTGGTTCCTCAGTGAACTCTTCTGCGAGGAATACCCACTCACAGGTGCACAAGTGAGATCACTGTGAATAAAATAACATGGGAATTACCTATTTATCGACCTCAAATATTTTTTATTCAACAGTTCATTGATACATCGCTGAAGCCTAAAAGACGTACTTTGTTTTTCGGACCGCGTAATCCAGGAATTTTCGCTAACCCTGCTTTTACAATGATCCAAATGTTAGAGGTCGTTTACCACGACGGGACTCAAGCCACCCATCCACGTCACCCCTGGTTATATCTCGTGTATTGTATAGTAGGAGCAATAATGGACTATGCGTACAGACGTCGGTTAATTTAGGAATTTTGTAGCTATAGTACAGAGTGTACAAAAGGATGGGTGATGTACTTGAGTGAGTTTTATTCCTGTCAGGATCACATAATTTGACACTTTGGGTCACTTCTGAAGTCGTCAAATGTGACAAACATTTCTTTGAATTTCATCCCTGGTTACGTAAAGAAAAGTTTGACCCGATAAAGCGTCCTTATGAACACGTTCGGAGATACACCGCTCATTTACTTCTAAATTGTTGCTGTCGAATGCTATAAGTTAGAGATTATGAAGTAAGCGTGCGCGATTGGAGTCCCACTTCAGTTGACTGCACTCGTTGCCCGATGTACATTGTTTTGACCAAGCTTGTTGCCACTCCGTATTTTATCTGACTTGATCTGAATCTCCCCTCCATACACTGAGTGTATGATTATGAGTTCTTCTTTTTCCTTCTCTACTGTTTTTGGTTATCGACCAATCATATTTTCTGAAACTCAATAGGGACCTGTTTTTGTTATGTTTTACACACCTGACTATTCGGATAATCCAACTGAACCTCCACAACTTGCTTTGGAAAATCACTATCCTAACTTAAACTAACTTTTGGTATTACCATAGCTGGAACATTACTGCGATCGAGTCTTACTCTAGAGGTTCTTTCAGTAATACAGTTGGTAAAAGGTTCGGTAAATCTGATCGACTAATTTACAGGTAGTCACAAATAATAAATCAACAGCTTCCGCGTGCACTCTGAGGTCTAAATCTAACGATATGGCTTAAACAATATATTTCTGAATTGGAGCAATCATTCCGAACACTGAGCGATGAGGCTGTGCTTTTCTTGATAATTTGCTGGCTGTCAATCAAAACACTTCTGTTTTTGCAGTGAAATTTCCCATGTAAACAAAAGGTAATATGTACGTTTGCGTTTTGAAAAAATAAAGAAATGTCCATATAACTGAAGACATGGATCAAGGGACCCAGTGTTTCAGTATGAAATCTTTGGAATCTGACATCATCACTTTTAACTCTGGCGCACCGTGAGAGTCTTTGCTGGAAAAGGACGCGTTCTGTTATTCACAAGTGCAGTTGTCACGCACTGAATTATTCAGAAGTCCAACCATTGAATCGATTCGTCATCGACAGTCCACAATGTATCCCTGAAACGATCATGAAACAGGAGATTTCAATCAAGCTGCACTCGTTGAGCAAATAATGAGTAGGAAGGAGACATTTCAACCAGTTATTGAATCACGGAATTTTGATTGTTGGCTTCATTTAAATTGCAAACGTCGCACTTGTTGTTGGAATACCGCTACGCGAAAAACCAGTCAATAGTAATCACACTAAAGTAAAGACTGTTACCGGTAACAAATAAGGTCCATCCGCATTTACCTTGACATGTCGGCCATACTCTCCAGTTTAAATAAGGGGTGCTTTCCACTACCTCGGGACTCATGCTACCGGCCGTGTACTCTACTCCTGATCCCGGATTTGCGGTGGTAAAATTGGACGAACAATATTTCCCAGTTGTGAAAGTGGATGATGCTAACCCGAGTGTTGGATGTGATGTTCTTCCGAGCGGCTTCGGACGAAAATGGTTGTTGGTTGAAATGGAGGCTGAATTTTGGCCAGAAGGTCTGTTTCCAACATATAAGGATGTTTTTTTTTTAAATTCCGTAGGACGTGACGAAATGTGATATACGTTTTCAACTACAGAGTAAGCTTCGACCAATCAGCGTTTTCATAATTTGTTTTCCCTGTGTATGCACTCCCCTATAGGAATAAATGTCATTTATTTGAACGGGGCTGCCTAGTTCTGTGAGTCGTAAACGCATACATCAGTCAAGAAATGAACGGCTACTACCGATATTGATTCACAGATAAGCTTACTCATTGCATAGTTCGACTTTCGTGAAATAATCAGGTTTTCTCAGGAAATCCGGTACTAACACTAATTTATTCATTGTCGCCACGAAGGTACGATATTTCTTTTTTGCGCCACGGCTAGTTCATTGTGTGTGACATTGATTTCCAGGGTAGAAGGCTCCTCAAAACATCAATAACTTATGAAAAATCA